GAATGGTTTTTAAATGCATTCTGGGCCAATGGAATCTGTTGGGGATTTACTCATTGATTTAATGAAAATCTTTCATACAAATTGATTCACCATAAACAATTTTATCGATAGCGAGATAGCGAATAATATAATTTTTATCGCAACAGCTTGGTATAGAATAGAAAATTATACTAGAGCGTAAGCTAATGAACATAATATGTCAAATTAAGAAAGAAATAGGCTGACTAGACATCATTATCTTTATGTTATTCGTGTAAGGTATGTATATGGTCAGTAAAAATAAATTGGCAATGATTTTAGCACCAGAAATATTTGGTTCTTACACATGAACATATGTAACAATCATGGAATATGCACCCTATTTTTTTAAATGATACTAATGATACTGTAATAGGGAAGAAAATTGAGCATTATCGTGTATTAAAAAAAAACTATACAATTCATTGGCAAAAATTCGTTTCTATCCATGATTCAAAGATAGTCAAGTGCTCTAAGGCTGAGAAAAGTATTACTTTTTTTCATTTAATTGCACTTTATTGCATTTATTGACGACATACTGTCCGGTAATAATTCATATTTTACACTTTTGTGTTTGTATACATATGAATTAATATTATGAAGGATCAAACTTCTAATCTTCATATCTAGGTTTCAAATAAACTGAGGCTTTCGTTTCGATCTTCTGTGGGCGTGACGTGATATTTTTCAGGTCCATTCTAACAATATTCCATTCGTAGGTAATCTTGAAGCTCTCGTTTCTTATTTCTCCCGCTACACTTCAAGTTTCTGACCCGTTCCTTAATCCAAAGTTTCCCAAATGCCCAATTATGGCTTGATCTCGTACATTAAGCACTACAAGATATCTAAACTTTCGAAAAAGAACAAATTTGGAAATGGCTGGATTTGAACCGACGACCTTCGAGTTACCATCCCGAATTTGAACCAAGCGCCTTATCTAATCGACAAGCAAGGCACTTAACTGCTTGCTATTGATATGAGTTATATTCATTATATATTCAGAGTTTGGAGATTTCGCCATTTTTTTCGTCTGTACCTTGTTGCTTACATCAAAATAGCTAAACTTCATCAAGCATGACTGGATCTAGTTTCATATTAAAAACAAGCTACGTTTAATGCTTTAAAACTCAATTTTCTTAAATTTCTGTAAAACGTAGTTTACGTTAGTTTTATATCACATAACGCGTAGGTTCAGTTCATACCTGATGCCTATTCGAAAAGTTTCATTGCTCAAAATTTTAAAAACTACTGTTTTTAAAACAAAATAATAACAAATCTCAGATCGACAGAATCTGTTGCTCTTAACTGAATTTTAAGGAATCAGAAAATAGTGAACAATTGTTTTTTTTTTTGAAAATGTAAGGTTTTCGTAAACCCTATCGATTATGTACTTTAAACTTTTTTAAAGGTTTTGAGGAAATAATTCTGAATGTTTAAAGAACGAGAAATGAAGATTTTTATTGGTTTCGAAACACTTTTGTTTCCATACCTATTACAAATAAGCACTTGCAAGCTTCACTCATATTGCCTCTACAATTTTTTTTTCTACGCTAAAGAATATGCAAAGCAAATTATCGAATATATTAAGAAACAATTATTATTGTCTGTATTTTAACCATCTGAGTTTTATTGAATGATTGAATTGCTTGGTCTATCTTTACTTTCGTCATTTACAATTATAATAATTATACATTATTAATATATTAAATATCAGAGCTCGAAGACGATGAAATTTTGTATGAACTTGGAATCGACAACATCAAAGAAAATCTCGAGCCGACTTTAATAGCTTTGATATCATATTCATAAAATATCTGTAGAATCTTGGAATTCAAAGTGAAGTTGAATTTTGAACAAATCTAAAAGTTTTGATAGTAAAAAATAGAAGTTTCTAAACCCTGATGATCAGGTTGAGCGCTGTAGAGCTCATGCAAGAAAAATTCTGTTTTCTATAATTAAATTTATTGTTGCATGCTTCAAAACTGTTCGTTTAAAATATTTAATAAATTTCAAATAAAAAGCTCCAATTCTAAAAGGTTTAGTAATTTTGTTGATTTATTAAAATAGCATTGATTTCCAGAAAGGCACAAATTCAAATGCTTAAAACCTTTCAAATCTATTCGTGATATCTTCATTTTATTTCAATTTTTTTTTTCTTTAAGCTGCATTTATATAAGATATAGTCTTTCAAACTGTGTGCCTTCAAACTGTACGCACTTTTTAAGTTCTACGTCTGTCACGAGAATTGTCGAAATTGTAGAAAATTATTAATGTTGATAACCACTTAATAAGGTCGTAGATCATAATTTTTCTGCATTATTTTAAAACAATGTTCAGAACGGACCATATATTAAGAATAGGGATTTCAACCAGAAAAAATGAATTGGAAACTATAGCTGGATATGTTTGTTACTTTTTTTGATTTTTTGTATATTGTAAATCCGTTGATTTAAACAAAACGAAATTAGAATTTTGAATATCAACATTAAGAAGTGCAAAATCTATCAAGCAAATATGCGTCATAGATTGTTAACTTCCGTTTTCTTTTAAACTTTTTGAGTAAAACAACATAATAAGTTAGCTGGAATTTATCTTTAAATGTAATCGACGTATTCCCTCATTTTCAAGACTAATGAAAATGTTTTAAAAGAATTAGACAGAAAACAACATTTTGAATCATGAATAAAAATGTTAAATGTGATAGAAATTATTCATCATTTGCATACAGATGTTCATGATTAGTAACATACAAGAAAGAAACTAAAGAGCTCAAATTAATTGAAAATATATTTTTTACTATAAAACCACTCATTCTTATTTACTCTCTCAAAATAGAAGAAAAAAAAAATAATGTACGAGAAAAAATGTAAAAATTGTGTTTAGACACGAATAATTGACTATTATTTCAATGAATAAAAAACTATACGCTTTATGTCATGTATAATGAATGAGGAGTTAATTGAGAAGAAAGGATTAATTTTTTTGTTGTTCTTTTCGATTTAATAACATAATTTACTACATCCAACACTCATACGATTTGACTTTAATTTCATTTATACACATTTTTTATACAATCATTTATAATAACCTTTTGTGTTGAACTTTACCTGCGGGCGACGGTCTTTAATATACGTAGAACGCGCTTTTGTTAATACATTTTTGTGTATAGTCTTAATTTCTTTTTTTCAAATTGATAATACACTCAAGATAGATATGTTATGTCAGTGGTAGATTCCCAAAGGCGTTAATCCAATTTACAAAAAACATATTCATGTATTCGTACATTTCTGAACATTAAGATGGGACAGAATTTATGTTTTTCTGAATATCTAGCTGCATTTATCACAAAGTTTTAACATAAATTATTATTATTGTTTTTTTTGTGAATTTTAAAAGTATATTGTTAAGCTACAATCAGCATTTTTGTAAGGTGAATAAATTTATAAGGCTCGGATTTTCATTTTAAACATTAATTGATTTTTGTGTAAAGCACATGAAAACAATTTTTATAATTGTTCCTGCATTTTTGTTTCGAAAACAAAACCTTTTTAAAATGCTATAATAAACTAGCGCTGATAATTTTGCAATTGATTTCAAACAATGACGAGTCTGTTATTATTATTTTTGATTATGATTGGTTTAGACATGTAGAGTCTCTTAGTTATTTCAAAGATTCTTTAGCATATTACAATGAAACAGACACTTTTTATTTTGAATAAAAATGATTTTGAAACTTAGCTACTTCTAATGTATTCATAGCCCTTGGATCTTTATGTTATTATCATGATATTCAATCCCTGGACGTAATTAAGATTCTACTGAATCATTATTATAGGGAGATCCGGAGTATGGAAGGATCTTTTTAATAGTTTAAACTTAAAGTTATAACAAGTGGATTGGATAGAAACCCAATGCGGATATATTCACACTGTGCCATCGAAAGTCTTGTTAAAAGTGTCCAAGCTTTGCTCAGCAAATGTTTTAAGGTTAAATGCTCGACGGGGTTTTTCATTAAAAGTTTAATTTTATTTAAAATAAAAGAAACTTTTGGTTTTTAAAAATCGGAAGAAATTATAGGTCTTTTGCTTTTTTAAGAAGCAACGGCTGTTCCTACCTTGAAAAAAAAACAATACAGCTCATTTATAAGACAGCACGGATCTAATGTAAAAAACTAGAAGTTTATACGATGTTTCGTTTTTGAGATTTTTGCCGATTAACTTGCTTGCTAATTAGAAAGCGTATTTTGCAATTTCCTCGGCAACGCCTCAACCAATTTGAAATCTGTTTTTTGCAGAAAATGTAAAATTCCAGACATTTTCAGCTTTCTTGCTTGTTTTTCCCACAAAATCCGAAAAATTGATTTTTCAATATGAATAAGAACAATACATTCACACGTGAATACGGTGTGAATTTAAAAATTTCATTTCCAAACCGGTTTTCAGTAGTTTTCAGAAGAAATGTTCTGGTTACGCTCCTGATTACTAGTGAATCGGGAACAGAGCTGCGAAACAGGCACCTGTGACAGGTGAAAACCCTACAATTCCTTGATAATTTATAAGGTTTTTCTAACAAAACCATACAAATTATCAAGGAATTGAAAGGTTCTCACCTGTCACAGGTGACCTGTTTCGCAACTCTGATCGGGAAAATAGCTGATCAAAATCTTACTTTTGAAATAAAACATTTTTTTTAAAAATTTGGCAATTTCAATTTTCTACGATGCAACGGATAAAACAGTAAAGCTTTGTCAATAAACAAACATTTTCAACAAACATCCTGGTTAGCCTTAAATTTTAAAATAATATCCGAAATTACCAGCAAATTTTTCACAAAAAGAAATTTTAACGTTGTCGTTTAATTATTAATTATTTACACAAAAAATTGCACAGTTCAAAAAGCTAGTTGTCGAAAAATTACATTGCATTTGCACCCCGTCGGGAAAAAATATTTTTGCACTTAAAATATTAAAAATTGAAGCTTACCTCTTTCATCATTTGAATCCTCACTTTGTTGACTCTGTACACTTCTATTTGATGATAATCCTGATGATTGTGTATTATTGTTATTTCCAGATATAAGTTGTGATGAGTGAGTTCCATTGAAGTGAGGTCGTGACAAGAAAGGTGCACCAAAGAGCATTGGATTCGCTACACCGAATTGCAGAAAAGGTGCCCATGATAAACGCGAACGTGGAACTAGATGTGCAGCTACTGCAGCAAGTTGAAGAGCTGGTTGTATTCCCGATGGTGGTCCTGACATACTATTTAGGCCCTGGTGCCCTAACACCATTATATAGTTTTTATTATTAACACAATAATTTTGGATTTTTTAAAATCATATATCACTTTGTAAAATCTTTCAACAGTTACAAGAAAGTTGTAACTTACTATTAATTCTTTTTAATGCGAGAACAGAACTTTTGTGTGTATGCGAATGATTCCAAATGAATTACTATTTCTCTTTATTATTATGTAATATTATTATTGAATTAATTAATTAATTAATTATGCAAAAATTAACACTGTACTTAATAATTACTGACACAATCTCATTTGTTAATCATATTTTTTTATAATCTATAATTTAAATTGTTTTCACAGTCTCCATGTATTTATTTCTCACTTGTTCATGCTTTATTGATTTTTTTTTTCTTCTAATTTTTAATGTGCCAAAATTTCTTATTAAAACAATTATCAATTTATTATAACTGGTTTTCAAATTAACAAGGCGTTAGATTAATTAAGTGATAAAATATTCTGTATGCGACCTGGTCGCTTTCGGATTTTAAAATATACTGCGAAAAGAGAAAAAAAATATGAACTGAGAAAATATATTTGTAAAACCATCACATATAAATTGTTATAGAAGTTTTAGTTGTTCACTTTAAAAAGGCAAGCAAGAAAGAAAGAAAGAAAAAAACTTAACAAAAACTGGTCTTTATCATTGTAGGCGTGCTCTTAGGGAAACTACATGGGAAAGAAATAAATTCAAATTGATTCACAAGTAATTATATGTTTCAACATTTAACTATGTTGCATTAGGATTTATGTTTCCTGGAATCTTTTTCCATTTGAATGTATTTGTAGGTGAGAGAAATAGTGAAGTTCTCTCTCTCGTCATGTAACCTTAAATGGCTGAAAAAACATACCCACTCTTTTCCGATTGGTTCAGTTTTTTTCCTCGTTTTACTCACACAATCTTAAATTTCATCATCATCATCCGCATATATCAGTATATAACTTCCAGTCAGAAGAAAAAAAAATAAAAGAGACTTCTTGTTTATTGAATTTAAGTATTTTTCTATTGATTTCTCGACGAGATAGAAATTAAAATTTCATTTTCAAAGAATTGCAAATTTTTTTATTATATCATTTCATTTACTTGGCTAATTGATATTTTTATACGTAGATGAAAAACCAATATGCTTTAAATGAGATTTTTTTTTTAATGGGATAAGGCTGCATATCACGCTGTAATGAGGAAAACTTTTTCTTCACTCTCGCAGCATCGAAAAAAAACTTACGTTCAATTACTTATGTAGCAATAATGATTAATTGAACTATACTAATTTATTGGTCGGGGAGCTTTACTATTTGCTTTTAACGGGAGTTGCTTTGTAATTTGTCAGTATAATACTTAGTTTCTATTAAAATTTGGAATTTTTAATATTACGAGAAGATATTTCAGTTTTTATAAGATAGTTTCTTTATTTTTAAGTAAGTTTTTAAAGTCTTAACTAATGTCTTTTAATATATCTCTAATTTATATTTAAACACCTTACAATCATTATTTTATCTTTATTTCTCCCAAAACATCCAGTTGATAACCAACTTGATATACTATCGTATTTGTATATCATTTATCTACAAATTGATAGTAAATTGTTACAAACATAACAAAACAATTTCTGAAATCATAAAACAAGCGTTAATTAGAAAATTTATTGATTTATTTGTTTTGCTAGGTTTGGAACTTAATGAATATTTTTCATATTAGATGACACATAATAATCAATAACTCTAGAATTGGCACTTAATTTCCAAATATCTCAAATTATTTACAAATTCGTTCTATTTTAAGATGTATAAAAAGCAATTGTTTAAATTTTATAAAGAGTTTGTCACTAGTGAAAAAAGTTCAGAAGACGCTAATTTAAGCAGTAGCTAATTTACAAGTGTTCGATAATCTTAAATTTTTCAAATCTTTCACAACTTTAAAACCAAAGTAATTAGCTAGTTCCATATTTCAAAAGCTTTAAAAAAGGAACAAATTTTGGACCAAAAGTTACATCAATCAAAATAATATTTTATTTATATATTTATTGGGTTGATATCAATATTATTAATTCAAATCAATACTCAATGAATAATTTTTGAGAAATCAGTCATTGAAAAAAGTGATAACGCAATTTAAAATGAAAATGACTCAGCATGAATACAGTTACGGAAAGCTATAATAATATTCACGAAACTCTCCCCATTTACTTATTTCCATATCTTACAGCATTCTTAAATAAGAAAGACACTTTATTTTAATATTAAGGAAGAACTCCGAAACTCCAAAAAACATCGCATAAATGGTGGCGGAATAAAGAGAGCATGAAAATATGAGCAATAAAAAATATTGATTTTTTTCCCTCCTTAAATTAAACTTTTCTCCGCGATGCAACATATTCAGTTTCCTCGGTAATCACAACGAGAACTTTTTTAATATGAAAAAGAGAGATCATGACAGAGAAAATGAATAAAATTTCATGAATAACATTTGATGTAATCAAACATTATTAAAATAAATAACCAGTAATGAAATCTCTCGTACGCAGAATGAAAACGCATTTTTGTCTTGCTCAGAACTTAGCACAAAACATAAAATAAACTAGTGTATCGGGTAGAAACCCAATGCGGATTATATTCACACCGTACCATCAAAAGTCTTATGGATAGACCAAGATTTGCCCAGCATAAGTATGGAGGTTTAAAGCTTAACGAACATTCTTTAAAATTTTTCTAAAAAAAATTTCATCCAAAGTTGAATTTTATAAAAATCACAGTCAACTTTTGTTTTAAAAAAATTCGTAAGAAAGGAAAGTTTTTTGCTTTTTCTGAAGCAACGGCTGTTCCTACCTTGCCCAAACACAATACAGCTCTTTTTTAGAGCAGCACGGATCAAATGTAAAAAACTAGAATTCTCTACGATGTCTCATTATTGAGATTTCTTGCTGATTAACTTGCTTGCTTGTTTGCTTACAGAAAGCGTATTTTGAGATTTTCTCAGCAATGCCACAACCAATTTGAAATCTGTTCTTTTGCAAATGATGTAAAATTTCAGGCACAAACTTTTCTTCTCGGACCTTTTACAGTCAATTTTGCTTTGTTTCCTCACAAAATGCGAAAAACTGATTTTTCAATCTGAACAAAACCAATAGATTCACACGTGAAAACAGTGTGAATATAATAAATAATTACCAAGGGGGTTTCATCATCGTGAAACTGGTTGTTTTGATCAAAAATTGACTAGATCCAAAAAAAATATGGCTATAGCTTTTGAAAAGCTAATATAATTCTTGTTGATTTTAGTTCCTTTTTCAACTGGAATGCTGACTTTGAACTTGAAATTATTGCAGGAATCATTTTATTTTCTAAAATATTCAAAGTATCCCATTTCACGATGATGGAACTTCCTTAATAATTACAATTTGTTGGCGCCTTATCACAAATACGTAATGCTTTTGAAAAGGAAGGAGTTGTTAGATTTTATGGCATTTCAAGTTAAATAAATTTTTCTTCATTCGAATTTTGTGATATTGAGAGGGGGGGGGGGGGGGGCGTGGGGTTCAAAATAGAAATTTGGCTGACATAGAGGATATGTTAATATAAGTCGTAGCCAGGAATCCAAAACCTGTGTCGAGATATCAGTCCTCAAAAAGGAATAAGTTAAATTTTTTAATCCTTATTATTTATAACAAAAATTCATTCAAAACAAAGAACGTCTACGTTCAAAGTGGGATGCGATATTTTGGCTTAAAAACCGAAACTGTGTTTGACACAAGACAAAAGAATGGAAGGACAAAATGCAGTCATTAGCAACTTTTGGCACAAGAAAACGAAAATGAATAAAAATTTGAATATCAATCGCAACCCGCACAATAAAAAGAAATATCAAGCCTGAAAATTAAATAAATATGAAGAATCATTGGTTTTTCAATTTATTTGTGTGAAATTCACAACATATATTAATTTATTTGGACAGACTTGTTAGAGATATTGAAACTTTATGAAAGAAAAGATCACAATGTTATCAGCGACAGTAATTAAATCTTTATTTATGAGTGTAGACACAAAAAAAGAATTTATATACACTTATCGATTGAAGAATATCAAATTTCATGTCACGAAATGTCAACACACTTCTTCATTCATTTTTAAGCATCGGTTAATTTTTGACATCATCATACATACATAATGTTATCTTACAAGTTAACCCAAATCTAATTATTTTCACTCACCCACAAATATTCTAAATCGTTAACCACATCTATTTTACAAATAAATATATATATATATATATATATTAATTTATTAGTGGAGGGACATACATAATAATATTTATAATAGGAAAAAAATCTGTTCACAAATTTCATTTACTACAATTGGATTAATATTTGATGACGTGTTAACTCTCCCGAGATAGATCGTTGAAAAAATATTAAAGGGGGTTTTTCACAATAAGAAGATGTAATAAAACATAATTCAACTTGTAATTTTGCGTATGATTTTATCACGAGAGACTCGCATTTCACAATACAGGTTCTTGAAAATGTAAAAGTTTTCTCGCTACATGTCTTGACAAAATGTTTTTAAACGATTTTTATAATTTCTTTGCGGCTTAATTCTCATTTTACATTAAATTGTTTTTTTTTTTATTTTACACAAACTGTTGTTGTTTCTTAGTAAATTAATTGCGTACACCGTTTAAATTATTTTTAACTCAAAGAATTTATTGTTTATCAAAATAAGAATTTTTAAGTTGATGTTTCGCAATTTTTTAAAGATTTCACTTTGATTAATGATATAATGTAGCTTTTAAATATATTTGAATAGCTTTGAATCAAAATAACAATAACAGAAATAAATCTGACTTTAACAGTTTTTTTTTTCAGAGCTCCAAGTCGATAGAGTTCGACTTTGTCGATAGTTTTGAGTCGACTTCGAGCTCTGTTTTTGGGGGGGGATTCTTCTAAGGTCTAGTTGAACTCCTATTCCTTATTAAACATGATTTATAGATTTGAATTTAAATTTTCTTAACTGTTTTTTGAAATTTTTAATTATTGTAGGATCTTTAAAAAAATCTATTGTTTGTAACCTATCTCGTTCCTTCAAATATTGACTAACGGTGTCAAAGATTGAAGCGAAGCTGGATT